CACCCCCGTGTTTTTCTTTCTTTTAAAATTAATTAATTGGAGTACTGAATTTTCAATTTTTTCCAAAATTTAAACACCATAATGTTTGAAAATGTTGAGATTTCTTTGTAGTTGCTACAAGGTAAGTGTCTCGTGGCGATACAAACTCCTGTTTTTCAAAAGAGAAATACCCTTTTTGTTGTAAATTATTTAGTGGACAATTTTTTGAACCAGGTCGATGAATTTATACCTATCAAAATTCGAGCGAGTAGTTTCCCAGTTATTAAAATATTTTTGCTAAGGATAATAGTCCTTAAACACGGTTTTACAAAGTATAAAATAGGTTTAAATAGGTATTGGTAGTAATTTGGCAACTGATTTTGTTAGTTTAATATTAATTACCAAATATTTCAAATCACCTAACTTATATCATCCTCTCAGTACATAAAGTTAAATAAATAACTATTCGTTCAAATTTTGATTTTGATGCGTTAAAATGTTCAGGAAAATTATCTGCTAGATAATTTACAGTAGAGAAGGGGTTGTTCTCATTTGAAAAAGTTTGATTTTTTACTTGGAACTCCTTGAGTAATGGGAAGTAAAAAAAATCACAAGAATTTGAAAATATAGTATGTCTTAAAAACACAAAAAAAAATTGGAGTTTGAATATAACTGCATTATCGAAGAAAAAAAAATTAGGTGAGCATGCTTGGTGAATCATCCTGTATATAAGGTACCTATACTTCGCATAGCCTCATGTATACAATACAGGCTGTTATATTATTATCTCGTCCCCTGCAGCGACTTAATTGTAATCGACTGTTTCCAGAGCGTGATATGAACATTGTTCACATTGTGAATGCTGACAATGCTGCAGTAGTGCCCCCGCCAAAGTTCGCAGCTATTTCTTTTTATCCGCAGTTGACGCTGTCGTAATTGTATCTGAAACATAAGTCTCGTAAGCCGCCGACTACAGCATTACTGAATATTGACGAGTAAAACTATGTGTGACGTATAATATATATATTTATATAGGTACGATGTTGTATTGCAAAAATTCGATGCTAACGACACAATAATATGATATGAAATAGAACCGAACGTCCCACTGACCCGATGACATCACCTGCATGTATCCTATAATGTACTATAGAGACCTATGTTCATACATAATATTATTAAGCTGATATTAATCGATTGTAAAGTCTACACTATAGTACAATGGCCACGTGGTGTATATATGTATAGAAATAAACACTGAAATGGAAAATAATTATGGTTTACACAATATTATGTCAATAATTGTCAATGATAACGTTTATTTTACGTATGGACGGAGTTATATACATCTAGACATCTAGTATAACACGTCAAAGACAACAAACCGCGATGTAGACTTAAATAGGTCTTTATAGCAACAAATGCGATTATAACGTATATGATGGACTACAGCTGATAAAATATGTGCCCTAAAAAAAAATCAAACTAATCGAGTAATTATCTCTGTTTTGAAATATGATGTCTCTAATAGGCAGTGGATTTATTTTTAGCACGAAACGTAAACCACTTTTAAAAGTTAAAAGTGATCGCCAAGGTTTTAGTCCATCATAATAATATACGAAAAACGTTAAATATTTTTGTTGTGTTCTTACAGCTTAGGAAATGGTATAATGTTTTTTTTTCTTTTTTAACAAAATTAGGTTACACCAAAAAAACACCCTAAATGTTTAAGAAACAACACGGTTACAATAATAAATGCAAAAACAGTTTATATTTTGAAGGTACAATATTAGTTATTGCATGTGAATAAATTACAATTTATCATAATTCATATAACCAGTATAAAATAATAAATTACTAAACAATTTTCATTTTTTATATTCAAGACATTTTAATAAATGAATCTTTGTGAATAGAAATAGTATTAAAATCGTGCAAGGTGAATGCTCGATAAATTTTGGATTGTATATAAAAATGCGTCGATCAAATTTTGATTTACACTTTTCTGGGAACGAGTAATTCCACGAATATATTATGGACCTTATATCCCGTAATTATTTATTATAATATAGCCTAAAGGCGTTTTTAAATCTTTTATATTATATACAAATTTTGGTACAATAGGTATAACAGCTGATAGGTATGTAACCTAAACACATTCAAATTATACCAGTAAACTTACCGAGGAGTAAATTAATCAATACATTTTTTCTCACTTGCTTTTTTTTTTTTATAAAATATGATATATGTTAATTCTTCTAGTATTAGTACCTTATATAGGTATATCTTTATTATTTATTAAATTATTTTTGTATACTTAAATGTAGAAAAAGAATATTAAGATAGTTGATCTTTATAATTATTTGTATTAATTATGTAGGTAACTTATTTAATATTTATTATTGTCTAAAATGTTTATAAAAGTTACAACAGTGAAATTATAATTTTTACTTTTTATAAGAACTTTTAAATGTTCCACTATAATATACAATGCTACAAACTATACCTTGATTACCAAAATTTTATATTTTTTGAAAATTAATAATTATTAGACTATAAGAGTTCAGACATTTGCTTGCATCATTAAAATGTCTGCCGTATTTGTATTATATTTTCTTGCAAAACTGAGAAAATTCAGAAAATACTATTTCTAAGTATTGATTAAGCTCGGTTTCCATTTTTCCAATCGTCCTACTTGAAGCTTTTGAAGAATTTCTTTTGACTAAAATAAAGGTGAACTGTAGAAGTAAATACAACCAATACATTTGTTGCTTCATTTATAACTTAAAAAATACATTTATTTTGAGTTAGTACACAATAACAAAATTCTATTAACTATTAAGGGACGTTCTACCCATGTATATTTGTTGTCTCCGTCTTATACGTACGGAATAGAAAATTTTTATTCACTATTTTCAATAGTGTGCAGCAGTTAGTATTGATATTAAAATAAATTGATCTATTACCAAACTTTTAGGTAAGACCAATATATGTTCTTAAACGTCGGATATTTTTCAATATTTTAATTTTTAAGCAAAATATGGGTATGTAAAATTTAAAATTCTCATTATTTGGCTTGAAAATTAAAATGAAAAATCACCGACGCTTAACCACAGATAATGTTTTTACCTAAAAGTTTGATAATATTATGTCAATTTATCTAATATAAAAACAAACAGCACACTTTTGAAACTATTGAATGAAAATTTGGTATGTCGTACGTATGTAAGACGGAGACAACTAATGCATGGTTAGTGTTCGCTTACATACTTAGTTATTCAATATTATACAATATTGATTTTAAATAATTACATTCAAAGCAAATTATTTGGAAATAAGTTAGATATTGATATTTGATAGGAACACTGATTCAAACTGCATGGCTGGATATTTTGAATATATTAATTATATGTTTAATATATGTACATAATATGACACGTCTTATAATTTATAAATACTATATAATATCATATAGGTGTACCCACTGCACTATATAAACACATACTCTGCTTTCATTCAAAATCGTAATTAACATTTTAATAACTTCCCTGTATCTTTTATTAAAATCTGATGACGTTGAATGAGAGTTAAAAATTGATATAAATTAATTTTAGATTTTCAGGTGTGCTTTTCAAAACTCGAAGTAAAAAATAGATCGGCACATAATATATTTCTCATGGCTACCACAACCAGCTATACTGGTCGAATAGATATTATATAGTATGAATGAATGGCTTACATTTTAAATGCGTAAAAAAAAAAACATTGTAGACACTATACGCACATTATTTTTTACCAGTGGTGAAAAATAATACCAAAATCGTTTAATAATAAATTATACGTCATAATAATTATGATAGTGTGAGTTGCGAGTAATGTGAAAAATTGGTCATTAGGTATAACCGAATCGTGATCACAAGCCGTAATTATTTGTCCGTACGCCCCTGTGTGTGATCTTTGTATCTACGTATTTTAATTTTTGACAGTAAAATCATTTTTTTTGAAATTAATTTTTGTGTTGCATTAATTTATACCTAAGAGAAAAAAATATAACTTCTTGAATTGTTACGTACTAAATGGTCTAAATCCTTGATTATTAATTATCGTAATTACGTAAATGTGTATAATACAGATATTATTATTACAGATTTATTATAGAATTGTACTGTATTGTCTGTATTAACCTATTTATATTTTGTTTTTTTTTGAAATTTTTGAAAATGATTGATATAGCAGCATGTTTATTGTTTTAATCAGTAGTTGTATATACTACTGTCTACTGTTTGCTACTACAAACATTTTATATAATTTTGTTTAACATTTCCAAGTACTTACAAACATTTATGAATACTTAATTTCTTTATGTTATCAATAATGAAAAATAACATAGAAAAATAAAAAATAAATGTGACCATTCTTTCAGTTATTATTTTGGAAATAGTGGAAGTATAATAATTATGTGGGACATAATATTTACTCATAGAATTATATTAATTAATGATAAATATTAAGTAAAACTCAATTTGGAAATGGCAGCTGGTAGGTATTTAGGGATGGTTAACATGTACAACGAATGTTCATCAATTCTATAAATGGCTAAGTTAAATATTATAAATACTCAGAACTAAATTATAAGTGAGTCATAATGAATTAATTGACTTAATTCGAGAATGTATGTGGCCTAAGTGAATGTAAAACGATTCGATTTCATCAAATACATTTTGTGAAAAAATAATGTATTGTGTAATAATGAATGAACATAATGTTAAAAAAGTTAACAATATGACAATAGGAGAGTAAAAAAAAAAATATAATTATAATTAGTATGGTTCTATAGCAAATTATAGTTAAAGTATTTCTTTTATACCTAGTTTAGAATATTACTTTTTATGGGTTGGTGTATATTGTATGTTTTACTGCGTGTTTGTCCTTATTTGTCCTATCCTAGAATATAAAATGACTAAGTATTAAAAAATTGTTTTATTTAAAAAAATTTAAATAGTTTTAAAGTCGAGTACCTGCTAATTAAAATTGTATCCATGTGTTTTAAAAGTTTCGCTATTTATATTTATCTTGTCGATAGTAGTTTGGTACGTTCTCGTTGACGAATGAAGGTTTTGGTAATTATTACTCGCGGTATGTAATTGAACGTCGGATTTTTGTAGATTATTCTGAGTAGAAGTGAGTTGGTTTTTTTCACTCTGTAACTGATTGGAAATTATCCATAAATAGTTTCGGTAATTCGAAATCCAATGTTTGAAATTTAAATACACATTTTCATTAATTTCCTCGGTTTTGGTTTTTATAAAACCAACTTTCCGAAAACAATTTCGGATATGTGCAGGTGACATGTTTTCCCAAACATTGAAAATCATATGAATGGAATCCGAGACTGAGATTTGCGCAGTATTGTGAGAAGTCGGGAATTTTTCGGCGTTAACTGCGGTTGTAGATTTCATTTGTTTTAGATAATACTCATATATTTTTTCGATGCGCATAATATTCTGTCGAAGAGGGTGAACAGATACCATGCTACTCGGCAAATATTTTATTTCGATGTTTTGCAGTTCTATTTGTAAATCTACCATCACATTGTCAATGATGACCAAAATTTTTCTTCCCAATAACTCTTCGTCCAACCGTCTTAAAATCGACCCATAGCAGCTCGTCATCCACGTATTATAACTCGCTTGAAAATGTACAGATAACGTTTTTACGTCTTGAAAATATCGTGGAATGTGTATATTATCTATGATTCTGGGGCAAATTTTATTGGTTCCCGTTATATTGGACGCAAATATAATGCTAAGTCTATGTATACATTTTTGACATTCCCTATTATCCGGAGGTCCTTTGAACTCACAATTTGAATTTGGAAGGTCTCGATAGTAGAGGCCGATCTCGAATAAACTATATACGTCATTAACGTCGTAATTGGACATGACATTTTCGAAAAAGTCTTTGACAGATTTTATTAGGCCGCAGTTAGTTATTAAAAAATTGGCACCTCTATTTTGGTCGGCGACCAGTTTAACTCTTTTATTAGAAATATTGTACTTGTTTTTCCATTGCTCTAACCATTTATTATCAGGATCAAAATTTTCAACTCCAAGTACTGTAGCCAAACTTCTGGCTTTATCTAGTAAAATCATTTTACTCACCCGTACGCTTAAAGAACTCGCGTATTCGAACCATCGGACCATTCCCTCCTCCATGTCAATTAATAGCTTGTCATTTTCTCGTTTTTCTCGCAGGTAATGACGACGAAATTTTTTTTCCTCAGTTTTTACGATTCGGTGTTCTTCAATTTCTTTACGGTTTTTTAACAGTCTTCTTAATGCCACTACTGAAATATTCAATATTGAGGCAGCTCTATGTTGAGAAAGGTTTGAAAGTTGGGCTACGTCGTAGCAAATCAACAGTTCTTTTTTCGCTTGAATCGATAATTCATTTCGTTCGTTCGACATGTTTAAGGTATAAAAAGTCAAATTAATTAATTTAAATTTTTGAAACACAGCGTTGGCAATCGATTGTAGCGTATTTTAAACTCCGCTTAGAACGCTTAACGTGGTACTGAGTAAATTATTGTAGGCAATAAAAAGTATTGGTTTGCTTTCTGCGTTTGATACGATTTAACATAAATAACGATATCATTATTTGTCGATTAGTAAGGACGCTCGTCAAATAAAATTAATCCAATGTATATATTTTGGTACAATATAATATATAAATTATTTGAATTCGATTTTACCAAAATGCCAATAGTAAACACATTAACAACAATATTAATTACAATGATCGGCACCAACTGCTCGTTCTTTTGGTTTAAAAATAACAATAGCAACTATTATAAATCGCTGCTTACAATGGTAGTTAGGAAGATAAGTAGTTTCGGTTATCTTCTTTATTTTATAAGGCATTGTACATATTTGACAATTTCATTCGATGTATTATGTACTTCCGAAATTTGAACCTTTACAAATGTTATATATTAGTATATGTTTGTTATCCCAAATCAAAAAAAGCATCCGTATTCCGTATTGTGTGTTATATAATTAAATCCATCTCATCTGTCTGTACAATTCTACTAAAATCTTTTGACTCAGTGTTAACGTGTATTTTCAAACATAATATTAATTGTATTTTTTTAACCTAATTTTTGTTATTTACATTACAACTTTTGTAATATTAAGAAATGGTTTTACGAATATGTAGGACATAGGTAGCCGGTAGGTAATAATAATCTAATACACTTAAAAATAATATATTATTTTGTTTAAGTAATAGGTAGGATCCTACGGGCATGTACCAGTTGCCCCCAAAAGTACCTTTTTTTATACCAATTCCCCCCAAACTACCTAGAGCAAAATGTACCAGTTTCCCTCATATGTAAATATGTATACGATTAATTTATATAGACCATAAAATAGGGGAGGTAAATATACAAATAATAATTATAAATAGTAATTATTATAACAAAACATAGTACATAATAATATATCAAATTTTTTTACTATTTTTTTTTATTGACAAATTATCACATTAAATGTCACATAATTATAATATTTATTATTTTATCGACTATTTGTATTTATATTATTTTATTAGTAATTATTATTTATTACAAAATACAATATTAGGTATATATTCCAAGCATATGAATTTTTTTTCTATCACTTTATAATATTTTAAATTATTTAATTTATTTTTTGTATATTTACCTCCCCTATTTTAAGGGCTATATATTGTAATCGTATATATAGTATATATTAACATGTAAGGGCAACTGGTATATTTTTAAATTCCTGATAACAACCGTGGAGGGCAACTGGTCAACACCCGATCCTACGTGTTGTATTTGCGATATTTTATTGTAGCTACCTACTTAACGTGGTGAAATTTCATTATTTTCTTCTTGGTGACATAATTTTGTCGCTTAGGTGGGTTGCTCATTGCTCAACAGTAGAATTATTTCGAAGACTTGAAAAAAAAAAAAAAAATAATAATAGTATTTCTACTAAATCGGCACCGCCAACACTGCCGTCGTATATTGGAGTAACCTCTGCTGTACGTCTTCGGTGTGCTGACGACGTGACTACAATTGAGGTGACAAGACAATGTTACTATCGTTTTTTATTACTATTATTGTATTTTATTATTATTTTTTTGTCAGAGGTCAATTCGGACGCCATTACGTGCTCGGGTGTCGGAGATTCCGATCCGGTGGTCACCCTGTAACAATGAGTATAAAACAGAAAATTACTACATTTATTATATTTTTCCCCATCTCGTCAACGCACGAATAGTGCATTAGCAGCATCACGCGTATCTTATAATATAGCGTATGTATGAAAAATAATAAAAAAAGGTTGAAGAAAAAATATAATAATATATCCACCGGATTAAAATGATGTTTTTTCTTTTTTTTTTGTACGAACGCAGAGTAATTCGTGTCCAGAAAAATTGATGAATATTTTGTTGCCAATGTTTTTTTTTTCGAGTTCGCTCATAGTCACCATTATAATACTATGTGAAGACACCGCTTACACTCGATGTAAATCCATTTAAATCGATTACGTAAATTATCCGCCATACTGTAATCCAAACTTGAAAAATGCACATAGAATTTATGCCCAAATGGACAAATGTATATGTGCACCTGACTCGTTTCGTTTTAAACGTCACGAAATAAATGTCGTTAATTTTGTTTTCATGGTGTATAGAATTTGAAATTATTGAGAACTGCGTTCATTATTATAATATTTGTCGCGCTTTTCCAAGAAAATTTACATAAATTAAATTATGGTGTTATTCAAACTAGTATTGTAGGGTCTTGTTCTTCAATTATGTCCATGACTTTCAATATATTATCGAGGCTTAAATATTATATATGTCTCATATAAAAAATAATATATAAAATAAAGTGTCCATTGGGTCCAGACAGTGTCCAGGCTACACGTAACATAATAAGCTTGTACATTATAATATACATTTATACGTAAACTCGTGGTGGTTGCGAACATATATATGTCCGTGTTATATACAATAATTATCAATCCTCCTTATTATGATATAACCGTTAGATGTTAATAGTATGGTGGTATAATCGTAAAATGTTAATTAAATATGATTTACTAATGTTTTTATATTTTAATAATTGAAAACAACATTAAAATATTAGTAGGTACGTATTATTATATATTACGGTGATAATAACCTGTGACTTGAGCACTTGACTTATTCTATGAGATTTAAAAAATAATAATTTACATTATTTAGCTGAATATAATATTATGATTTGTGCACATGCAAAATATTATTTTTCAACCGTACAAACTGAATAGGACGTATTAAGCTTGCAATTTATGTGTTTTGATTAGTATTTAGTATACGTTTAAAAATTCACTATAAAACTGATTTGTTTAACGACGGGTGCGTAATGTGTAATGGACTGCGTTGCAATAAAAATGAATTCTTAGGAACTAAATATGCCAAAACGGTGTCAATCTTCATAATAATTATTATTTTATTAAATTTAATGCAGTACGGGTTTTTTCGTCTTAAACGCAAAGGATTACGACTGTAAAAATATGTGACCATGTGCCGTCAAATGTTCATAATAATATAAATATTACTGGAATAAAATAAAATGTACCTGTATTGTTGTCGTGTGCTATGAATTTATCACATAATATTATGTTATTATAGTATAATAAAAGACTATACAGAGGTATAGTGTATACCTTAGGCATATTATTATTATGTAACACAAAAATCTGTTAATTCTCACCGGAGAAAATATTATTTCGTTTTAAAACGACCATCGATGCACAGTGTTTGTCAACAATATAGTGTTATCGTGACGAGCTTTTTGTTTAGTGTTCGGTCATTCGAAACACACGCGTGTAGAAAGCGATTATACTCGAATGCGCTTCAACGCATAAAACTTGATCGATTACCGGGTATATAGGTAGAACAGTGTAACTTGTGAAACGTTTTAAAAGAAATATTATACCTGCACGTTATAATATTTTGTCCAGCTCCGGATTTTACATGATTATTGTGAATAATAAACCCAATATACGTACACCATACATTAATACATTATACTATAATAGGTATGAAGTCTTTACCCTTTGGCCACCACGAGTTTGACTTATTTTCGTGATTGTGCAACGAGAACTGCAGTTGTAGTAACTGCATATGCATCTTTAACGCCGTAGAAAAAATAACGATGAAACTGTAATATAATACTAATATAATACTAAAATCCTATCACACTTCAGGCAGTTCAGCTCTGCCATCCATTTTTATGATGTATATTATATCCAAAGGATGAACGCTTGTCGACGATTCAACAGTACAGTGTCCAATTAGTATTTATTTTGTTTTTTTACTGTAATTTCCTAATCGAATCATCAACCCCCCAATCCCCTGCGCCGTGACGATTTCACGATGTCAAGTTGTAGGTTAGGTTGACAATAACGTGTTGGGTTTACAAACACAATAATAATAACACAACAATGTTATAAATGCGGACGTTGCGGCCCAACTGAATGACGCACATAATATTACACCATTATAATGTATAATGTTATTATTATTATTAAAAGCAATGTAATGAAACGAATGACAATATTATATATTATAATATATTTTTGCATTAATGATCCGTTATAATGTTATTGTGGGACACACCTTTCCACACACTGACCTACTCTAAAACAGTTTTTCGCCACCGACCCGGCAAAGTGGGACTTAAATCATCAGCAGACCCACCGCCACGCGTGGTGCGTGTACTCGCGACGGTTGTTCGCTGTTCGTCCACCACTTCGTTCTCGGAATCCATAAACGTCCGAGAGCATTTTAACGACACCGTTGACTCCGCCGACACCGGAAACCGCATAATTTTTTAATAACCCATCACCTATCCTATCGCCATTCGTCTTATATGTAGGTACGTTACGGGAGAAAATAATGTTATTACTATTATTTTACGTTCAGCAGTACGTGAAAAAGTTAATGCGCACGTCAAAGCTAAACGTTTATCGTAAAAGAGAGATATTTCAAACGTTAAAGTATATCGGATAGGCCGTCAAATAAAAAACACACACTTTAAGGTCGAGACCGCGTGGTGGTACTGCAGGATGTTTACCCGATTTCGTAATTCTCTTCATTATAATTACTACCTACTGCCTAGGTACCTATGTAATCTAAATTACGTTTAATTGTGCTTTTGATCACACTTCCCGAAAATTACTCAATAATATTTCAAACGGTTTTAGTTGAATGGCACATCAAAGCGATTGTATTATAGGTAGGTACGCGTTACTTACATAGTTAATTATGGACTAAATATGTATCGATGGTCGAAAGCCTTGGACTTGTTATAATATGTTTTGAACACGTGCCTAGGACGTAATTTAAATTCTGCGAGCGTATCAAAATACATTCGTTTCACCTCTGA